ATTCACCCCCTGACCTTCTGGGGACACACGGACTATCCCTCAGGTTGTCAGTGGCCCCAGAGCTTCTCACCAGCCTCTTGCCGCGTTGCCCTCAGTGGCTCTGGGAGGTGCCCAGGCAGTGTCCTCAGGGGCTTGAGGTGCACAGGACCGGAGGCCTGGAGTCTATTTTAGCTGCCCCACGTGCAACCTCAGTGATCACCCAGGGTGTTAAAATGGCCTGGGAGTTGCCAAGGGAGGGGCTGGGGAAGGGCTGGATTGCAGGAACAACCCAGGGGTGACCTCTCCCCACAGTGGAAGATTCAGACTGGGCACAACCTTCTTCTTTTGGATCCAGATACTTGAGGAGCCTAAATTGGCAAGTGCTCCTCCAGGAATGACCCCGTTTTCCATCCCTTCATTCCCAGGACCAGGAAGCTCAGTTCTTCCAGGAAAATAGACCCAGCATGTAACACTGGGCAAGTGGCCTCCCTCTCTGAGTATCAGTTTCCTCATGAAGGAAATGCAAGGTAAGAGTCAATGGCATCCCTGCTTCCTCCAAGGGTCCATGGGGGAGGAGGAGGTGTGTTCACTGGGTGAGCAGTGGGGACGGAGGGGCACGGTGCAGACAGGCAGGTGCTTTACACCCACCAACTCCACTTGCCTCCTGATCATTCTACTCCAGATTGCCTTGAGCGCTACTGTACCCCACCCTTAGCCCCTTCAGATCCTGTGATGTTGACCTACTCCAGGGCTCCAGGCCTGGATACACAACCCAGCCTGGCCATGCAGAGTAGCTCATCCCTCTGGCTATAGTAGTTGGTGCAGGAATGGCTGTATGGCTCAAGCTGGAACTTCTCCCAGAACTATTAGGAAAGAGGCACTCTTAAAAGAGGTTACTGAGTTGATAGATTGGAGCTGCTGTTGCCAGTAGTGGTGGTGATTGGGGTGGGAACTCTTACAGAATGAAGCCAAAGGAAAATAAGGAAATGAAAGAAAATAAGAGCCTAGAGCTGGAGGAAAAAACAACATCTAATTATTATTTAAGCACCTGGATCCAGCCATGCCTGAAGCAGATACCCCTAAAATTTTTAGTTAAATAGACCAATAAATTTCCTTTTTACTCAAGCTATTTTAACAAAGGCCAAAGTATCCAGGTGGATATAAGTTTATCCTCCATGCTCTACCTCCATGGCAGAGGCACGCAATGGGAAAATCAACCTGGGTTGGTTTGTTTTTAGCATTTAGAAGCCAGACACTCAGAACAACTCAGACAGAACTTCCTGCTGCCCCTGCTGGAGAGGAAAGGGTGACTGCCTTCCTCTCTGCTTTGGGACTGCAGCTCCAGTGCCTGCTCGATAGTGGAGACTATTCATTCAACACAACACTCATGAGGACCACTCACCTTAGAATAGGCAGGAAACACAGAACTGGAAAGTGTGAGAGCAGCCCTGGAAGGGTGTTCAGTCTAGAGGGTGACCAAGGCCTGCAAACAAGCCTTTCTAAGGCAGGGTGAGTGCTTTGGTGGGGGCCCTCCCAGAGGTAAGGGCCTACTCCCATTGAAGTGGGAGCGGCAGATGCAGGAAGTCTTCCCCGAGGTGATGCCTGAGATAAGTCCAAAAGGCAGTGGGAAGCTGGGGGAATGCAGGTAGGGGGAAGTTTTTAAGTAGAAGTTCCTGCCATGAGCATAGACACGGAGGCCTCAGAAGGCAGAGAGCATGCGGGGGAGTAAAACCAATCCCAAATGACAAGGTACAAAGTGCCAGGGAAACACTGATGAGACTGGAGGCCACATCTGGCAGGGGCTTGTAAACCACAGAAAGAGTTGGAGTTTAAAGCTGAAGAGTTTTAAACAAAGAAGTTGGGGCTGGATTGTGTCTTAGAAAAATCATTCTGGGTTGGGCATGATGACTCATAATTGCAATCCCAGAACTTTGGGAGGCCAAGGTGAGTGAATCACCTAAGGTCAGGAGTTCAAGACCAGCCTGGGCAACATAGTGAAACTCTGTCTCTATTAAAAATACAAAAATTATCTGGGCATTGTGCATGCCTATAGGTGCATGCCTATAATCCCAGCTACTGGGGAAGCTGAGGCAGGAAAATCACTTGAACCGGGGAGGCAAAGGTTACAGTGAGCCAAAAACATGCCACTGCATGCCAGCCTGGACAACAGAGCAAGACTCTGTCTCAAAAAAAAAAAAAAAAAAAAAAAAAAGAAGGAAAGAAAAAAAGAGAGAAAGAGTGAGAAGAGAATAGAAAAAAGAAAAAGAAACAAAAACAGAAAAATCACTCTGGCTGTAATAGCAAAGGTGGATTAGCTAGAGTTCACTTCTGAAGCTATTGTTCTCCCCACAAGAGAGGAAGCACCCTGGTCTAAGAGAATGATGGTGGGGTGTCTTAGCCCCTTCAGGTTGCTGTGACAAAGTGTACCAAGCTGGGGAGCTTACAAACAACAGAAACTTATTTCTCGCAGTTCTGGAGGCCGGGAAGTCCAAGATCAAGGCGCCAGCCGATCTGGTGTCTGCAGAGAGCTCCCTGCTTCATACACAGTGCTTTTTTCCATCCTCACCTGGCAAAAGGGAAGGGCAGCTCTCTAGGGCATCTTTGATAGGGGCGTTAATCTCATTCAAAGGCAAAATCCTCATGACTTATTCACTCCCAAAGGCCCCACCATCACCTCGGTGACTAAGTTCCAGTAGATCAATTGGGGGCACACAACATGCACGCCATAGCGGGGTCATTTGGGGGCACACAACATGCATGCCATAGCGGGGTCATTTGGGGGCACACAACATGCACCCCATAGCGGAGTCATTTGTTGAGCATGTACTATGTGCAGGGCTTTGTGTTAACCTCGTTACAAGGAATCAGCCTCTTAGCCATTGTCACATCACTATTTTGAGAGAAGAGGAAACTGAGGGACAGGTTAGGCAACTTGGCCAAAGGCACACAAATGGTTGGGGGGAGGGGTTAGGAAAGCCAGGATTCCAATCCAGACAGGCTGGCTCCAGCATTCCAGGTAGTGAAGAGGTGACGGGGAAAATACTTAAAGGATCCTGTTGCAAGAACAGGCCTGAGTGGATGGTAAGGTCAGGAGCAGAGTAAGGGATGAGGGGATACTCATGTCTCCCAGGCAGGGCCTGCTCCCTAATTTGTGGAACTCAGTGAAGAATGCAAGTGCTGAGCAATTTGTTCAAAATGTATCAAGAATTCCAAGACAGTGCTGGTAGAGCGTAAACCAAGCTCGGGGCCCATCTGAGCTTGGGGCCCAGTGTAACTGCAGGAAGCAGGTCTGCTCTCCGGTTACTGTTCCAGGTGCCTGGAGTAGCATCCCAGCCTCCTGCTCCTCATCAGCCCAACAAGAAGCACCTGTCTCAAGCCCCGAGTTCACCCATTCATCCAGCAGATACTTACTGAGGACACTGAGCAGCAAATGCTGGGACATGAGAGTCCAGGAATTTGCCTCATAGCACCTTGAGGCACCAGCTGCTTTTCCTTTGCCTGCCAAAGCCCCACACCTGGTATAATGGTCTCAGTCCCCAGAAGAGACCCTTGTTCATAGCTGCCCAGTTCAAAACTCTATCAGGATCTGGGAGAACAAAGACAAAAATGCTAAAAAGCCGGACTGGCCCCTACTCTGAGAAAGCCAGCAGGGAGTGAGAAGCCCATACAGCTGGAAGAACACAAAGGCAGCCCAACCAGCAGAGGCCCGGCAAACTCCCGGGCACCTGCCTGGAGACCGTGTCCCCCAGGGACAAATCTCTGCCCTAGAGGAGTTTACACTCCAGTGGGTTGGGGGAGGGGAGATGCCGTGGTAGCTATAACATTGACAACAGAAAATATTTATTTAGTGTTCACCCTGTGCCAGCCCTGCTCTAACTCAATTTTCACGCCCTATGAAGTAGTTGATGAGGAAAATAATAGCTCATTCAGGAGGAAATGAAGGCACAGAGGAATTAAGTGACTGACTCAAAGTCACGCATCTGGTAGGTGGTAGTGGCAGGATTTGAACCCATAAGCTGAAAAGTTCTCCATCCCATGCTGAGGACTCACCCACATTCCTCCTGCAAGAGATAAGGTTTACTCAGTTTACAGACCAGAATGCGGAGGCCCCCCCAGGCAAAGCTGCCCACCCTAGGTCTCATGGCCAGCTGTAGGGGAGCAGGATTTAGGGTTGGCCTCCGGGCACTCCAACCTTCTCTCCCCACCACCTCCTCTCCACCTCCCCACTCCAGCAGCCCCAGGACAATCTGCCCCATGACATGACAACTTCTCATTACTGTCACAAGCAACCATCCTGTGGTATATTATACCACTTTCCCCTGTCCCGAAGGGAGAAGAGAGGACAGAAACCAACTCCCGGCTGGGGCACTCACTTGCCCCACCTTGGAAGGATTTTCTGTGCCTCTAGAAGCAAAATAGATTTCCTGGGCGCTCCCCAGCCTCACCCCTCTGCCTCCTCCCCTCCCTCTGCTCTCTCTGGGGGTCACTTGTACTCTAAGCGCTAACATGGAACCAGAGGGAGGAAGGTGGAGCAGGGAGAGAAGGGGATGGCAGCCGGGCTGAAACTTGAGATCTTAGCCTTGGGGGGCAGGGGATGGGGATGGAGGGAAAGAGAGAGAGAGAAAGGGGGAGTTAAGTTGCATTTAGTTTTCCAAAGCGGGCAGCACTGGGGCTCGGTGTTTGTGTGTACCTGAATGTGTGCGCATATGTGCATGTGAGTGTGTGCACGTGTCTGTGCTCCTGAGTGTGTGCACATGTCTGTGTGCTGTTTTCTTCCCTCCCCTCCAGCAGGGAAGCCAGGGCTCACTGGATAATCAAAAGGCTCAGAGCAAGGTTGGTACACAGTTAGGATAAGGGCAACAGGGCAACGTGCAGTCAAGACTGAGGAAGGAGGAAGGGAAGGGGTGAAAAGTAGAGATGAGAGGGTGTGTCAGAGGGGGGTGGCGGGAGGTGGCCGAGAGGAAGCAGAGCAGCTGTGGTATTCAGAGCAAGTATAAATAGCTGCCCGGACAGAGCTCTGCCAGACAGGGGCTTGCAGCTGCAGCTGTAGGCAATCCTGGCCACCATTAACGGCAGCAGGACATCCCAGGCCCAGCCCCTGGGGCTCTGACCCAACACCCCTCACCATTGCCGTATCTCCGGATGCTCTTCCAGCTCGACATGCTGTGGGGTGGCCTCCTCCTCATGGTTGCCACCATGTCTGTGGCTCAACAAACAAGGCAGGAGGCGGATGGCGACCGAGAGACACTTGTAGTCCAGCACGGCCACTGTCGCTACACCTTCTTGCTGCCCAAGTCCGAGCCCTGCCCTCCAGGGCCTGAGCCCTCTGGGGACTTCAGCAGTTTCCAGAGGGACCCCCTGGCCACCCCACTGCACCCAGGGAAGTTACCCACCCAACGGGTGAAACGGCTGGAGCAGGCGCTGCAGAACAACACGCAGTGGCTGGAGAAGGTATGGGGTGTGGGGGCCGTGCAGGGGGCAGAGGGCTGCTGTGGGGTCTGTCACAATCAGCACGTGGAGCATCTAACCCAGAGGCCTTCCCTGTGCACAGAGGGCTGGCTCTGAGTTGCACAGATTGGGCTCTGAGGCCCAGAGAGGGGTAGGGATGGGCCTGAGGGCAGTGTCAGCTGGCAACCTGGCTCTTTCCCTGCCATCCCTTCATACATCCAACAGAAATCCATTCAGCGCTGACCATGGGCCAAGCCATCCTGGGTGCTAGGGATACAACAGTATAGTATGTCTCCCTCTGGCCTAGTGGGGGAAAGAGATCGTCTAGTATGTCAGATGGTGAAGCAAAATGAAGAAGGCAAGTCATGCCCTTGGGTGTCTGCTTGAGGTCAGATCATTAGAGAGGACATCTCAGAGGAGGTGACCTTTGAACCCAGAGGACAAGGGAAGTGATAGAGTGGGCCATGAGGGTATTTGCGGGAACATTCCGCAAAGGGAGCAGCACATGTGTTGCTGGTGTGGGGGGAATGCATCCGCAGTGGTGTGTGCCTGGAGAACGGCTGGTGACGGCTGGTGTGGCTGGAGCAGAGGAGAGGGAGCAAGGGCCAGGGAGGTCTGAGAGGTGAGGGCGTGGCAGGCCATGCAGCTGTGGGAGGCACTGGAAGGACTTCGGCGTTTATTCTGAGTGTCATGGAAGCCACTGCAGGCTTTTGAACAGGGACTGACACCCCTGATTTGATTTGAACAGCATGGACTGTAGGAGGCAGGGCAGACGCAAAAAACTCAAAGAGGTGGCCGCAGCAGCCACCAGGCATGAGGTTTGGACACCTGCAGCAAAATAGGGCTGGCAGGGAGTGTGGCCAGTCAGATTCTGGTGGGTTCTGGAGGTGCAGCCCATCAGCTCTGCTGGTGAATTGATGTGGAGTGGAAGGAAGCAAGGAGCTTCGGTTTTGGCCCAAGACCCGGGCTGCTGTAGAATGCCCTGTCATTCTTTCATCTTTCAGCAAATAGTCTGAGCACCTACTGTGTACTCTTCGGGAAGCACTGAGTACAGAGGTGCACAAGGCAGATTTGGCCCTGGCAGGGCATGAGGGCACAAGAGACATCCTGGGAGGTCTGAGATGGGACTCTTTAGAGCCCCTAAGTGAGAGCTACCAAGGAAAGGGAGAGGGACCCAGGAGATGGTCTGGGTGGTGGCTGTGAACCATTCCTGGTTTCTAGAGTGTACTGAACAGCAGACAAGCTGACAAACACCTCTGGCTCCTGGCTGGATGGCTGTCATAGCTGCCACCCTGGCTTCCTGCTAACGCTGGGGCCCCACCCCATATTCTCCATGCAGCAGATCAAACGATCCCCATCAAAACCTAAGTTACATCCTCTCCCTCCTCCCAGGGTTACCATGGCACCTGAATAAAAGCAAGAACGCTTATGCCCCAGAGTACCCTCTCCCAGACCCCTATGTGGCTTACCCCACCCTCCTATCCAAGCCAATGTTACCTCATCAGAGTCCCTGCCCACCCCGTATAAAAGAGCCACCCTCCTTCTTCCACACTTTATCCCGTCCACCGACTTTGTTTTTTTTTCTTAATATTTATCCCTACCTGATGTTCTTAAAAATATTTCTTTGGTCTGTGAGCTCCCAGAGGGCAGGCATCATGTCTGTTTTGCTCACTCCTGGGTTCCCAGGGCCCAGAATAGTGCCTGATACCTAGTAGGTGCTTGGTAAATGTTTGTAGCATGAGAGAATGCACAAATGCATAAATATTCTTCTAATCTCTCTGGTCCCAGGTCTCCATCCTGCTCCATAATGACACAAAATTGGCATTGATGGAATCCTGAGCCCAAAACCCATGACCTTGACCTCCCCCAACATCCCCCTGGGGCTTCATGGTGTCTCAACTCCAAAGCTATCTGAGACGACTCCCTGCTCTCCTCTGACACCCTCCTCCTGCCTGCCTCTCTCTGTTTAGGGGATGACACCACCCAGCCACAGACTGTCTGTTCCTGTGGCTCCCACTATCCCCAGGCAGCTGGCCCAGCCCATCCTGCTGCGTAGGCTCCTCTCACAGTCCTTCTTTCTGGCCTGGGCCTTGTCATCTTTCCCATGGACGCTGCCATCACCTCCCAATTGGCCTCCTACACCAAGTCTCACCCTCACTCAGGTCCAAGGTCTCCATCCTGCTCCACAATGACACAAAATTGGCATTGATGGGATCCTGAGCCCAAAACCCATGAGACTGGAAGAACATTTATGCATTCATGCATTCACTCATGCTACAGACTACAGACATTTACTGACCACCTACTGTATGTCACCTCTCACTCTCTCATCCATCTTTTAATCCCCTGGGTGTCAGATGCTAGGGAAACATTGGCTGAGAGTTGACGGCTTGAAGTGATGGTTTATAGGATCACCTGGTCCTACTCGGCAGCCTGGGGTGGAATGTCCTCTCCATGCATCCATTCACCTAGCTGGAAAATCCTGAGCTGGGGTCATTCAGGTCACCGTAGAGCGCCATGGGGCCTAAGATCACTGATATGGAGTTCAGCTGACCTGGCTGCAGGTGCTTCCTTACCACGTGGCTGTGGGTGAGCGGGTTTCAGTCTTCCTGTCTGCGAAGTGGTGAAAATGACAATATGTCAGGGATGACAGGGAAGATGAATGAAACTGCCCACACAGCATTCGCACCCTGCTGCCTGGCCTCCCACTTCAAGACACAGGAGAGCTCACCTGAGCAGAGAGATGGGCTTTTCTTCAATTTGGCATAATCCCTATTTTAAGCCCCTGCACCACCGGCTGGGAGAAGCTCGATCTTAGTCAAGCCAGTACATGGGTTGTAGGTATCCTTGGAGCTGGGAATGTCAACTGTCCACACTGATGTTCTCAAGGGCTCCTGCAAACTGCACAGTCTCTGGTGTTTGCTGTGCCATCTCCTGGGTCAGGAGCCCCTCAGTTGAGCACTCCTTCATCCCCTCGGCATTCAAGTCACTGCCAGGTGGCCTGATGCCTGTGGAGCCTGTCACAAGATCAGACCTATCAGCTGAGACAGTCCTGGTCATCACTTTCCCTGGGTCTGTCCCCTCCTTGGGCAGCAGCATGGCCTGAAAGGTAAGAGCCCTGACCCAGGAGCCCAGCTGCTGGGATTCCAGCATCATTTCTGCCCCTTGCTGTGTGACCTGGAGCGGTTTGCTGCAACTCTCTGAGCCCTGGTTTTCTCACCTACAAAACAAGGTGAAAATACTACCTACCTCTGAGGATTTAACAAGATGATGCCCAGGAAGTCCTTGGCCTGGTGCCAAGTGTTTGTTGGCTCTTTACATTGTGGGTTCTCCCTGCAAATAGAGATACGGGTACTGCAATTCTTGAGTCCTTCTTCACTCCAGTTGAGACATGTGACCCTTGGTTCAGGTAAACAACGATTTCTCTCCTCTGACACTCCTGGGCCCCAGTAGGGGACGCTTGCTACCTTTGGCTGTGGCTGTGGCTGTGGCTGTGACCTCCCTCTGGGTCTTCTCTTGGTCCAGGCATATCTCAGATCTTCTGAAGCCCAGAGCTTTTTTTTTTTTTTTTTTTTTTTTGACTTTTTCTCTAACATCCCAGAAAAGATTTATTTAAATGAGTTTTAAAATACTCTTATCTAATGGCACCATCGTCGTCGTCATCACCATCATCACCATTGTCATTAGGGCTGAACAAGCTCTCTTCAAAATTCTGTTCATCTAGACAGGCACAGCGGAGGCAAATCCCAGAGGCCATCATCTTCTCAGTCTGTGCCCCCAGCTCCCCTCCTGTTCCCCTGTGCACAGGTGAAGAAACAGGCCAGAGAAGGAAAGTGACTTGTCAGAGCCCTGTGGCACTGAAAGCCAGTCGAGATTCCCACTCCAAACTTCTTTTTCCTGGCTCTGGAAGGTGTTGAGGAGGCAAGGGAAGCAGGGTCTAGAGATGGGGCGCCCTCGATGCTCCCTTCTGCTGCAGAGTTTCCAAGTCCCCAGATACCCCCTCTCTTTTCCTAGCATTTGGCTTGCTGTTGTCCTACTGCCAGTGCTCAGAGGACTTGGGGAGAGCCCTGGCCTTCCCCTTCTCCCTCTCTCCCCTGCCATGCTCTCCTCCTCCCCTGCACCCCTGTCTCCCTTTCTTCTCCCTGCTCTGCCTCTCCTTCCTCTCCTACTCTCCTCCTCCTCCTGGAAAGCCCCTCCCCCAGTGACTCCCATCTGGAGCCAGCTCCGGTGTGCTGCACATCAGCTCTGGACTCTGCTCCACCCACTTCATCTGTATGAAAAGCTGCAGCCAGGAATATTGAGGAGGTTGGGGGACAGAGCCAGCTTGAGTGCAGGCATCTCTAGCTGGGCCAGGCAGCTCAGTGGCTAGTCACATGACCTCCTCTGTCCACCACGCTCTTGCTCTAAGACCCAGCGCTGGCCCTTCCCTCTCAGTGCCTCATCTGAAGGCTGGGAGGAAAATGACAAGCACCTTCTCCTGACCTTCCATGTGGGGTCAAGAGAAGCAGACCAAGGAAAGCCCCTGCACACAGCAGATGCTGAATAAGGCCTCCCATGTGTGACTGCCATTCCCCTAGTTGTCCCAGGTGTCCCAGCCAAGAAGTGCCATCCTCTGCCTTCTCATGTCTCCACAGAATGATCCATTCTACAAATGAGGAGAGTGAGGAAAACCAGGGCCATACACAAGCCCCAGGCTCCCTGGCCCACCCCCACCACCTGAGGGCAGCACATCTTCCCCCAGTCTCTGAGCTCCCAGGGCAGGGCCAACTCCACCTGGAAATTCAGGTGAGAACTACCTTCTCGCCTTTAGGGAACAGCCAGCAGCTGCTGGCCTGGGGTCCGTGGCAGCTCTCTCTCTCTCTATCACCCTGTCTATTTCTGTCTCTTTCTGTCTCTCTCTTTTAGAGACAAGGTCTGGCTCTCTCAACTATGCTGGGGTACAATGGCGCAATCACAGCTCACTGCAGCCTTGAACTCCTGAGTTCAAGCGATCCTCCTGCCTC